TAGCCTCCCAAAGGCGCGGGATTACAGGCTGAGCCACCGAGCCCAGCTTGATTTTTTTTTTTTTTAAAGAATCTGCTTTAGAGAAAAAAAGAGAGTGAACCCAAGTCTAAAATATGTTGATAAAGGGGGAAAAAAGGATACACTATTGGTGAATCAAGCACAACATGAGGTGAAGACATCAGGTAGACCCCATCTGGGTCATGTTACTTGGGTTTACAAGGTCTGCCATCAGATTTCTTCCATTTCTAACAGTGGCCCCAAACATCAAAAGATTGTGGGTTGGGTTCTCTGATAGAAGTTGAGAAGGGAACAAAAAACAAGGAATAGAGGTAATTCAGAGTCCCCTTTCCCAGGTTCCTCAGTCTTATAGGGCTCTGGTGAGTTAGATAGGTCAATCTGGGTACCAGAGGAGGGGATGCTGAACACCTACTTAGATGATTCTAGCCTTAAGGAACAGACAAATAGAGGGAGGGGGAATCCTTACAAACCCTCCTAAGACTTAATGCTTAGCTGGAGTCATCAGGGCAGCAAAGGAGGCAGGAATAAGATCGTCTTAGCCAAAAGGTTCTTTGAAAAACAAACTCTGCTAGGGTGCAGGAGACTTGGCCAGGAATGACCACAACATTTACTGTCTCAGAAGGTTTTCCATGTCAAAGGGAACCTCCTGCAGCCTTCAGCTGTCCTTGGCCAGTCCCTTTTGGTTTTAGTATATTTTGTGTTGCAGAATTAGCTCAATTGCTCATGGTAATATGGAGACAGATAAAAACGTTTAAACACCTGAGGTGGCAAAAGGAGTTTGCTTGGTCAGGTTGCCTCATCAGTAGAAAAGTGGGCCCAGCCATTTGTGGTCTTAAAAACTCACAAGGATGTTGCTGAAAAATCTAGTTCATGTACTAAAAACAGCTAACATTTTCCACATGCTGGGCTTTTGTTCTAAATAATTCCTAAGTAACATTTTATTCCATCTTCAAAATGACTCTGAGGTTGGTACTTACTATGATTTCTCTATTTTGCAGATAAAGAAATTGAGGCATCCAGAGATGAAGTAACCAGGATTTGAACTCAGAAAGAGCATCATTCCAAAGCTCAGACTTTGCATGTAGAGCTATTTATAGGGTTAGTCTTCTCACACAGTGTGAGTAGGAAAAAGGTAGTAGAATGAGAAGAATCGTAAATGTCTCCTCGATGCTAGAGATGAGATGGCATCTGTCTTTTAATGTCTGTAATCCAATAGGCCAAACAGGGAAAGAATAAGGTCCAGGACTAATGGAATGGCTGGGGGGCTCCAGATGGGGACAATGAAGTGACATGTTGGTGAGGAGGTGCTCAGCAGACAACTAGAGCAGCTAAGGATAAACAGTAGAAGTAGTCATCTACTTCTAAGTCTCCTGGAACTGAGAAAATGGATAGTTCCCTTTACTCTAAATGAAGAGGTAACTGGTAGTGTGATAGGGCAGGCAAGAAAACCATGCAAGAATACCTCTACAATCATTCCATGATGGTGGGGTTCAGAGTATGTCTGTCTTTGATTAGGAATCGGGGTGGGGAAGAGATAGTTGACAAACTCAGTTATAGATATTACATCTGTAGTGTACAAACATCCTTTTGTGAAACTG